CCCCAACTAAAATCATTTATTAATTGTTAAACATTTATTAAGATTTGGATAAGTTGTAATAACATTGTCTAAAATAAATTTTATGACTTTAACAGCACGTCAATTATGCACATCTGTGACAGCCAAGAAGCTTAAAGAGAAAATTGTTGCCAATAGATCTTTCACAGTGTTTTGTGTAATGCACAGGAGAGAACTTTGGCTACCTACATTCTATTTAAGTGTCAATTACAACTAAAATTGGTCTTACATTTTGTAATTCCCTCCCTGTAACCTAATCTACAGCCACTGGGTGCCTAGCCAATCTCAGAACGTGCCATTGCTGTTTTGAATGGCTCTTTTCTGCAATTAAAATTCTCTCTTCCTTTTTATCTCAGTCGAAGAGAAGACACAAATGACATTATTTGACTTCCCTGAAAGAAGTAGTTGCTTCTTATTTTTAATTCATTCAGTTCAGTAATTTAACATTCAGTGATTACTTACCTTTTTCCCAAACTAGGAAAAAGTCATTGTTTTGCTTTCCTCATGCTCCCACCTTAGCTATGATATAGGGTCCTCCTATGATCTGCCCTCTTGCAGTCTTCTCCTTATAGAAAGAGGATTGAGGCCGGGCACGGTGGCTCACGCCTGTAATCCAAGCACTTTGGAGGCCAAGGCAGGTGGATCACCTAAGGTCAGGAGTTCAAGACCAGCCTGACCAACATGGTGAAACCCCGTCTTTAAAAATAAATAAATAGATATAAAAATAGAGGCTGGGCGCGGTGGCTCAAGCCTGTAATCCCAGCACTTTGGGAGGCCGAGGCGGGTGGATCACGAGGTCAAGAGATCGAGACCATCCTGGTCAACATGGTGAAACCCCGTCTCTACTAAAAATACAAAAAAACTAGCTGGGCGTGGTGGCATGTGCCTGTAATCCCAGCTACTTAGGAGGCTGAGGCAGGAGAATTGCCTGAGCCCAGGAGGCGGAGGTTGCGGTGAGCCGAGATGGCGCCATTGCACTCCAGCCTGGGTAACAAGAGCGAAACTCCGTCTCAAAAAAAAAAAAAAAAAATAGAAAGAGGATTGATTTAACATACTGGCGTGATGGGCAGAGCTTCTCACCCTTTTGACCACATTAACCTCTGAAAGAACTTCTTGCATCAAAGGCAAGGGGGTTGTAGTTATGTTTCTGATTCTCATCTGCAATCAAGGAAACTTGAAGCAGGCTGACATTCCCCACATGACTGGGTAAGTATCTTTCTGTAGACCTAAATCTCCTATAAAGGGATCCCAAATTCAAGCAAGATTAGGTGGAGGAATGGGTAGGAAACATTTTAGTTTTGGGCCCAAGCTGTGCTTGTCAATCCGTCTTTACTATTGATAATAACCCCAGTCTGACTCCTCTATTTGCCAATTGGATAAGAATCTGTAGAGCCAGAGGAATGTGATTATTTAGGGTCCCCTCAAAGACTCTCAGTCTCAGGAAAATGAACGCTACTCCACTGAACAATACATAGTTCTTATACTCAGGAAACTTAAAATTCGATGGTGTTTTCACAATATTTTGCACCTGTCTCCACAACAATGGGATTGTAATTTTTTGTTTAACTTCTACTTCTTCATCTATACCATAAGCAGTGTCAGGCAGGAATGAAATCTTTCTCAACCATATAACCTCAGAATCTAGCAAACTGGTAGATGCTAACAGGTCGTTATAAATTGTGCACAGATAAAACAATTGCCATGGCATGTTTACCCTGACCGACCTAAAAATAAGGGCTTGATTTTATTTTTTATTTTTATTTTTTTGTTTTTATTCTTATTTTGGGGGCCTGATTTTAAAGATTAACCCTCAGAATTTATTTTTGAAACTGCTAGTTGATTTCTAGTTAGGACTTTTAGTTCCCATGTTCTCAAGTTTAGCGAAACTTCTATAAAATAGCACTGTGCTCTCTCACGTGTCATTTTTACTTTCTGGCCTTTCTTGTTTCTGCCTAAAAAAGAACTTTCTAAATTAGTGTGTCCTATAAATGTGACTTGGAGTCCTACCACACCTGATTTTGGGTGGAGAAAGATGGGTTCATAAAGGTTAAGTGAAACACAAGATTCACAAACATCAAAGTGCATACTGATTACCTGAAGATCTTGCTAAAATGTAGATACTTATTTAGCATGTTGGGCTAATAACCATGTAACAAACATGTACATGTATCCCTTGAATCTAAAATTTAAAAAAGAAAAAAAGACTACATGCAATCTAAAAAAAAAGACATATTTGATAAAAGATTGTTATCAAAACTATACAGAGAGCTCTTAAAATTCAACAAGAAAATGAACAACCCAATTAGACAATGAGCAGAAGATCTGAACAGATGCCTCACCAAACAGAATACATGGATTACAAATAACTATATGAAAAGATACAAAACAGTGTGTCATTAGGAAATGCAAAATTTAAAAAAATGAGATACCACTATGCACGTGTTAGAATGGCAAAATTCCAAAACACTGACATCACTAAATTCTGGCTAGGATGTCAAATAACAAGAAGTCTAATTTATTGCTGGTGAAAATGCAAAATGGTACAATTACTTTGGAAGATAATTTGACAATTTCTTACCAAACTCAACATACTCTTACCATACAATCCAGCCATCATCCTCCTTGGTGTTTACTCAAAGGATTTAAAAATGGAAATGTAAACCATAACCACGACAATGCTGTCTCACACCAGTCAGGATGGCTATTATTAAAAAGTCAAAAAATAGCCGGGCGCGGTGGCTCAAGCCTGTAATCCCAGCACTTTGGGAGGCCGAGGCGGGTGGATCACGAGGTCGAGAGATCGAAACCATCCTGGTCAACATGGTGAAACCCCGTCTCTACTAAAAATACAAAAAATTAGCTGGGCGTGGTGGCGTGTGTCCTGTAATCCCAGCTACTCAGGAGGCTGAGGCAGGAGAATTGCCTGAGCCCAAGAGGCAGAGGTTGCGGTGAGCCGAGATTGCGCCATTGCACTCCAGCCTGGGTAACAAGAGCGAAACTCCGTCTCAAAAAAAAAAAAAAAAAAAAGTCAAAAAATAACAGACACTGGAAAGGCTGCAAAGAAGAGGGATGCTTATACACTGTTGGTGGGAGTGTAAATTAGTTTAATCATTGTGGAAAGCAGTGTGGCAAATCCTCAAAGAGCTAAAAACAGAACTACCATTTGACCCAGCAATCCCATTACTGGCTATATATATTCAAAGGAATATAAATTGTTCTTCTATAAGGACACATATGTGCATATGCCCACTGCAGAACTACTCACAATAGAAAAACATGGAATCAGCCTAAATGCCCATCAATGGAAGACTGAATAAAGAAAATGCGGTATGTATGAAATACTATGCAGCCATAAAAAAGAATGAGATCATGTCCTTTGCAGGAACATGGATGGAGCTAGAAGCCATGCAGGATCAGAAAACTAAATATTGCATGTTCTCACTTATAAGTGGGAGCGAAGTGATGAGAACACATGGGAACATAGAGGAGAACAACAGAAACTAAGGCCAACTGGAGGGTAGAGGGTGGGAGGAGGGAGAAGATCACGTAAAATAACTAATGGGTACTAATAGGCTTAATACTTGGGTGATAAAATAATCTATATAAAAAACCCTCCATGACACTAGTTTACCTGTATAACAGACCTGCCCATGTACCCCTGAATTTCAAATTGAAATGTTTTTAAAACCCTGCACACAAATGTTTAGAGCAACTTTATTCATAATTGTCAAAACCTGGAAGCCACAAAAATGTCCTTCAGTAGATGAACAGATAAACTGTGGTACATTAAGACAATGGAATATTATTCACCATTAAAAATAAATGAACTACCAAGTCATGATAAGTGATGGAGGAAACTTAAATGCATATTACTAAGTGAAAGAAGCAAATCCGAAAGGGCTACTTGGAGCATGACTCCAACTATATGACACTCTGGAAAAGGCAAAGCAATAGAGGCGGTGGTTGTCAGGGGTTGGGAGGGAGAGATAAATGAGTAGAGCACAGATGGTTTTTAGGGCAGTGAAACTATTCTGTAAATCACTATAATGGGTGGATACACGTCATTATATATGTCAAAACCCAAAGAACTGCAACACCAAGTGTGAACCCTCATGTAACCCATGAACTTTGGTTGATAATGACATGTCAATTCTAGTTATTGATTGTAACAAATATGCCACTGAAATGCAGGATGTTGATGATGAGAGAAGCTGTGCATGTGTGGGGGAAGAGGGTATAGAAACTCGATACTTTCCGCTCGGCTTTGCTAAACCTGAAAGTGCTCTGAAAAAGGTTTATATATTTAGCAAAATAGATATGATCACACCAGAGAATCCATTCTGGGGACTAGATAGTTTTGGTTGGTGCATAAAACTGATCAAATAAACCACATATACCAAACCTAACGTCTACTAGGTTTCTCAAATTGTGGACACTGGGAAACATATTAAAATCGGCAGGCAAGTCTTTTAAAGATGAAGATTAAAGAGCCATTTTCTAGACTTCCCGAATCAGAATTTCTTAGTGCTGCAAGTTAGTGCTCTGCAGTTTAGGAAGTTAGTCAGGTCGTTTTTATGTGCCAGTCTTCTATTCATATCCACACATTTTGGGGTACAAAAGCAGATGCCAAATTGATTTCAAATAAGTTTTAATAACTTTACCTTCTTATTGAGAACAATCAATAAGCTTAAAATTGGTGAAAAACCATTAAATTATCTATATATTCTTTTGCTCAAACCATTATAAATTAAGGAAATAAGCCATGTAAATAATAGTGAGATAGATTCATTTGGGAAAATGCATATATATCTCTGACACCATTTTGAAAAGGACTAAAAACATGAATGATGTGTGATTTTGGCAAACAGTACAAATATATTAATAAATCATAGAGATGAAATCATTATCAGCATTATCTTTACTGTAAGACATACTAAGAATATTCTACATAAGACAGAAATATTTTGCTTTTAAGTCTGAGAGAATCATGAAGGAACTGTTCAGCTTTGTGTGTTCATCTGATAAGAGGACAGCTAAATGTATCCTCCCCATATTTCCTGTTTCTATTTTTAAGAATACCACAAGCAGCTATTCTAATATGTCTTTCTTACATAAGTCGTCCACAAATGCAGCCTGGCTAAAAGAGCCTATCTAGAATTGGTTGCTTAAAATTCTAGGTGTAATTGGCTAAATAACAGTGACTCAAAAGAATCCTGCACTCCCAAATCTAAGCAGCTAAAACGTAATGCCAGTGTTATATAAGAAACTCTCTCCACCACAAAACCTTGGTTTTGTCTTTCTATATGTTTACCCCACTTATACTCTCAACTCCATAATTTCACACATTCTTTTCTTTATTGACCTATTTAATCTAGTATTTTGACCATCAAAAGCAAACTGAAAATGTAATATCAATTTGATCATGCACCATTTCTGTTGTCACCCACCCAACCTAAAATACACACCACACACACACACACACACACACACACACACACACAGAGATCACATTCATTTGTGCAGCTCAGCTTACATATTTGTTCAAATGGATTTTAACCTTTGCTATCCACTTTGTAGGAAGACTATTACATTATTCAGTAGCAGCACCTGAGAATTCTAATCGCCTCAAACTGTTGAATAAAGTTATAGGCTATTTTTGAAATAATGTAACTCAAGTACTTTGGAAATTCCATATATCTGAATCCATCTTTTGCTGTGCTCTTAAGTGGCTGCAACCTCAGTATTTTAAAATAAATGATTAGCAAACTAAAATATGTCACTACAGATAATTTGCCCTGATTCCTTAGTAAGAATAACAGCAAGATGCAGCTGTGGTGAATGAAAGCGTATTGACCCCTGCTGACCTATTAAATATTCTGGGTTTTCCTCCATTCCATTAATTGCACTTTAACTTGCTATCAAGTCAAGCATGAAGCAGTTTAAGCTATCAATCTTCAATTGCCCAATAATACCTATTCTGACTAACGTCTAAGCTATTTGGATGCCCATAAGTCTATTAATTCAGCAGCATTATGTCACATTCTTATCCATCAGTCTATGTGACCCAAACAGTGAGTCACTACTTTATTCATAAATGTACTATACATTGATTGCTCCATTGATACCTATATTTGTCTGTCAATCTAACAGGGTAGACATAAGCATTTGCTTGCCAGGAATGGGGAACATCTACTCTACATCTAATTGGTATATTCTGTATTTTTATTGCACCATTTATTCTTTTCATTTTCTCACATCAAGTCTAAAATGATTTCTCCTTTGCATTTAAGAAACACCATTCTTAGATTGACAGAGGAAAAAATTCTTATCATGAAAGATTGACTTGAAATGTAAAATCATTACTGTATTTATGGTTAGTTAGTCAAATTGGGACATTTTGTTTTCAAGAGTGTGTAGTAAACCGATCCAGATAACACAAACCTCTTTTCCCTATAAGTCTTTCCAATAGCTTCAAAGGCAAGATTGAGTTTGTATATTGGGTGAAATGGAGCTAAGTTTAAATGTTCTACTATTCTGCTACTCATGATATCAATCAGTTTCGGAGAGATTTTCTTGTTCAAGGTTATAATATAAAAAGCTCCCAAATAAGTTTCTGGGAGAAATTTTAATCATTTGTCCTATGGACCCTTAAGACCCAAGCACTAACATGAACATTTTTAAAGTAAAAATTCTCAAATTGAGAAATATTATTTGACATCCTGTTCGTCCCAGACAATGATGTTGACACGCTGATCATTCAATGCCCCCTGTTGGAGTAAGAAATAGACTTAACTCCTCACACATATGGACGCATATTCTGTTGGTGCTTCTTTCACAGGTCTTGTGTGTCTTGAGTTCACTCCAATGATGGAATGGTTCAGGGAAGCATAAACAATGCATGGTTTGTTTTCTTCCAGGCATGAATTAGAACAAACTTCAGACCCTTCCTGCATCCTGAAACAAAGGTCAGGGTCATTATCATAAATTCCACTTTCCGATAGCAGTACTTGGGAATTCTGCCTGATGCTTGCTTCTGTTTTCTCACTTTTAAAGGGAACATCAACCTATAATAGAAAAAAAGATGGTTTTAAGTGACACTTAGGGCCATGGTAGTGCATATTCATTAGCAAACTACGAATGAGAGGCTTTAATGGAGTCATGTTCATTGTGAGAAATAATCTACTGTTCCTCACACATGCTGCTGACATCTACATTTTCTGCTAAATCTCAATTATTGAAGGATGAAAGGCTTGAGAATCAGTATGTACCCCTAAATAGTTATTTTGTGCTTTATTACTGGTCACTTTGAGGTCACAGAACATTTTTAAATCCCCTTTCAATATGAAAAGCATAGCCCATAGCTGGGCATGGTGGCGCATGCCTATAATCCCAGCTACTCAGGAGGCTGAGGCAGGAGAATTGCCTGAACCCAGGAGGCGGAGGTTGCGGTGAGCCAAGACCGCGCCATTGCACTCCAGCCTTAACAAGAGCGAAACTCTGTCTCAAAAAAAGAAAAGAAAAGAAAAGAAAAGCATAGCCCAAATTAATGGAAAAAGCAAAAAATATCCTATGAAAACTTCAGGCAGTTTATAACACAATGAACAGCACTTAATGAAGTTTAGAATAAAAAGATTAAGGATAAAGCAGAACAGATACCTCCTAAGGGGACAGAAAGAATAAATATTATGAGTTAGCCACGGTATATCATTAGAATTTGAGACCTCATATTTAAAAATTGATGTCAGTTTTGGAAAGATAAAGCTTAGAAAAGGCCGGGCGCGGTGGCTCAAGCCTGTAATCCCAGCACTTTGGGAGACCGAGGCGGGTGGATCACGAGGTCAAGAGATCGAGACCAACCTGGTCAACATGGTGAAACCCCGTCTCTACTAAAAATACAAAAAATTAGCTGGGCATGGTGGCGCGTGCCTATAATCCCAGCTACTCAGGAGGCTGAGGCAGGAGAATTGCCAGAACCCAGGAGGCGGAGGTTGCGGTGAGCCAAGATCGCGCCATTGCACTCCAGCCTCGGTAACAAGAGCGAAACTCTGTCTCAAAAAAAAAAAAAAAAAAAAAAAAAAAAAGCTTAGAAAAAGTTCTAAAACAATATTCCAGTTATTTCTATCACAAGAAAATTCTTACAGTTTCAAATATAGCCAAATATCTTAGAGCTTCTGAGAAAGAGGTGAATGTGTAGAAACAAAAAGTAAAATGAGTCCTCTTGTTTTCTCACTCTTCAGTTATTTATTAGCCATTCCTGCTTATACAAAGGTTCACCTGACAAAGCAGATGTGTTAATTCTAGGGGCTATTTCATTTTTCTTTTCTTTGTTTTTTTAAAATTAATTAATTTTTTTAAAGAGATGGGGTTTCTTCATGTTGGCCAGGCCGGTCTCAAACTCCTGACCTCAGGTGATCCGCCCATCTCGGCCTCCCAAAGTGCTGGGATTACAGGCATGAACCACCGTGCCCAGTGGTTATTTCAGTTTTTTAAACTCCAGTTTTGCCCATCAATTTACGCTCTTGAAGTCCAGCCTAACTTTTTTAAGGTATGAGGTCCACAGTCTTTGAAAGTCTACATGCTTTATCTGGTCCTTTGTCATCCTCACTGTGATGTGTGCAATGGGATGCCTGTGGCATTTCCTTGGCAGAGTTCTGTCATGCAAGCATGTCTGGCTTTACCCTGAGAAGCTAAGTAATAATTCCTGACACAGTGCCTCCCTCTGATGAGGTGGCTGCCCAGAAACAACAGTAAGGCTGAGTGACTAAACTGGCAAAGGTTGTTTGGCTGAGATGAAAAGTACTCCCAATTCCACTGGAAGAAGCCTGGCTGAAGTCGATAGGTGGCACACTAAAGAAGACTGTCACGTGAACTGAAAAATAGTCTTGGCCGGGCGCGGTGGCTCAAGCCCGTAATCCCAGCACTTTGGGAGGTCGAGATGGGTGGATACGAGGTCAAGAGATCGAGACCATCCTGGTCAACATGGTGAAACCCCGTCTCTACTAAAAATACAAAAATTAGCTGGGCATGGTGGTGCATGCCTGTAATCCCAGCTACTCAGGAGGCTGAGGCAGGAGAATTGCCTGAACCCAGGAGGCAGATGTTGCGGTGAGCCGAGATCATGCCATTGCACTCCAGCCTGGGTAACAAGGACGAAACTCTGTCTCAAAAAAAAAGAAAAAAAAAAAGAAAAATAGTCTTTAGTCCTCAATATATCAGCAAGGTTCCTGTGATACTTTTCAATCTGTTTAAGCCTCTCAGTTCTGTTACCCGTCTACCTGTCTCTCATCCCAAGAAATGGCTCATTTCCATGAAAAATTTTGTTAAAATGAATGGAGTGAAAGAAAATATAGTGCTCTGTAGCACCCCTGCTGTGGCACCCATCAAAGTGGCTGAGTGCCACAAGGCCAATCCACGACAATACGGTGGATAGAGATGATAAAGCCAGAAACAGCAATCCCATTACATTCCTATAGAAGTTTACTAGTATACAAAGCACTTTAAAATATGTATTTAAAGTATATGTTTAGATATAATTCACATGCCATAAAACTCACTCTTTTAAGTGTACAGTACTTTTAAATGGTTTCTATTAGGCAAGCACTTTATGCCCTCAAAGGATCATTCTGGATTAAGATCAGAGCTTTGGCTTTTTTGTTTTGTTTTTTGTTTTGTTTTGTTTTGTTTTTTGAGACGGAGTTTCGCTCTTGTTACCCAGGCTGGAAGAGCTTTGGCTTTTATATGTAGCTGTCATGTTTTTACCAATTCCTTTCTGTATTTTGATTTCTCCACAGTTCCCCTACTAGTTTTATGTTAAGAAATATTTAGCCCCAAGGATCTAATACGGCATCCTTTTTCCTTTTTTCTGAAATGCTGGACACCTGAAATGGAGCAAAATTCTTAAAATTTCTGTGAATAGCAAGAGTACCTTGAAACAAACTTCCCAAACCATTGCACACACACAAAAAACTCTTTTGAATTAAGCTTCAAATGATAATTTGTCCAGCCTACCCAGGAAGAAAAATGACCACATCTTAACCAACCTGGATTTTACTTGCACAGTAAATTATTTAGATTTTTGTCTTAAATAGTTTCATAGCTTTCAGGCCTTATTGTAATCAAAGGAAATTATCATTATTATTTACTATAGAAAGAAAATAATATTTTCGCCAGGTGTAGTGGCTCACACCTATAATCCCAGCATTTTGGGAAGCCAAGAAGGGTAGATCACTTGAGGTCAGGAGTTCAAGACCAGCCTGGCCAACATGGTGAAACCCCATTTCTACTAAAAAAATACAAAAATTAGCCAGCCATGGTGGTGGGTGCCTGTAATCCCTGCTACGGGGGAGACTGAGGCAGAAGAATTGCTTGCATCTCGGAGGCAGAGGCTGCAGTGAGCTGAGATCACTCCATTGCACTCCAGCCTGGGTGATGGAGTGAGAATCCATCTAAAAAAAAATAAGAAAATGATATTTAAGAAAATTTCCCTATTTGAGGGAACAAAGCCTTAGCACCCAACATAGTGCCTACTGATGTTCACTAAAACTTCATAGAAGTTTATCAAGTTGAATGTATTTGGTCTGGTTTAAAATTAAGCTGCTTGGTGGGGAACGTTGAATGCCATTTAATATTATATATGGAATTATTGGTTTTATCGACCTTGTCTTTTGTGGAATTTTTAAGAGGATTACTACTTCTATCACTATTCTTCCTTATTGGAACACACACACACACACATCAAGTTCCTTTGCAGTATCTCTAATAACCAGTTTTTTTTTTTTCCTCCCTCAGGTTTATTTGTACAAATAGCACAGGAGGACCCCAGCCCCATGCAGATGGCAGCCCCGGGGGGTCGCGCCCGTCCTTCTGTCCTCACGTTGGCAGAGGTATCTACTCTGAAGCCTTTGTAGGGGCCTGGGCACCTTTGGGAGACTGAGCTGGAACTGATGCTGGAGCTGCAGCCTGGGCCTTGTTTTGATCCTCGGCCTTGGCGTTGACCTTTGGCCGGCAGAGCCCGAGCCCCTTGGCAATGCGAGCCCGAGCACGCTTCCCAGGCTTGGGGTGGGCCATGTAGGCAAGTCGATCGAGCTTTCGGCTGACACCCCCTTTTGGGGTCTTGGGCTTAACCTCCTTGGGCTTTCCGAGGGCTGTGACGGCCGCGGCACGTGCACTCACGGCCTTGGCCTTGCTGGCCTGCGTCTTCTTTAGGCCCTTCTGCTTGTGCTTCTTGGCAAAGCGCATGTTCCTCAGGAACTTGGGGTCCACCCCCTTAAGAGATTCGTATCTTTGTGATCGGGGTTTCTTGATACCATTTCTGTGCCATTTTCAAGACTGGTTGTGTGTGGTGTGGTTCTTGGACTTGGCCATGTCTGCACCTAAGCCGCGCTTCCCAAAGCGCCTAGGACCGGAAGAGCTAATAACCAGTTTTAATTAGACAGCTTCAGAATTTTTTCCCACAAATATATTGCCTCATCTTGCATTCTTTTCTAGTTCTAATATCTCCATAACATTCAACTCAAAATAAAAGCCTACATTTATATTCCAAACCTTGCAGGAAAGATTGTCTCCGAAATTCCCTTCCTTTAGTCTGGGTGGTCCCTTCCTTGATGAGCCCATACACGTTGCCAGGGACCTCTGTGCAATAACTAAGCCAAAGATCATGTTTCTATTTTGCTGGTGTTATAGATGAAGACATCTAATATTTTATGAGGATATTTATGGATTCATTCTTTTATTAGCTCCCTACTCTCTTCCAGAAAGACTTTACGGTGTTTTCATAAAATTAAATGAATAGCCTGAAGCCATATAATAGGCAAGAGCAAGTCTACACGGCTCAGTCTCAGATCTATACTGCCTTCCATGAACGTCCAAAGAACCACTTATCATGAGACTTGTTAACCCTAAAGAGCTTTTGCCACAGAGAGACCTGAAATGTAAAAATCACATTTTAAAAAATGAGTCTAGACGTGTGTGTGTGTGTGTGTGTGTGTGTGTGTGTATATATATATATATATATATATATATATATATATATAGAGAGAGAGAGAGAGAGAGAGAGAGAGAAAATACCTAGAATAATGCCTGGCACATGGTAAGTGTTATATAAATTCATTGAAAAAAATAAACGCAGTATAACACAAATTTCATTTGTTTTAACAGATACATCAAGCATACCAGGATAATTTCCTTTCCTGCTGTGTCAGAAAGTTCATTTTGCTTTCCTGGAAGACAAAAGGAAAAATAAGTAATCAAAAGGAGTAAAGAAAATAGAAGTAAACCACTGTGCCATCCATGCTTACCCTGTTGAATGCCTGGGATAGCATTGTTACTAGTTTTGACTTGATTTGCTTTGCCTAGCATGTCACACACACTTGTTTGTGAGAATTCACACTGACCAGCTCTCTCTCTGGTTCATCACTTTTCAGTCCACATAGCCTCATGGCATATCTAAGAGGAAGGGGAAGGACCTAGTATATTACTTGGAAAAGACTGGAAGTCCTTGCTTTGGGGACATTCCGTACTCAATGCCAGAAATGCTGCTGTCCTGGCACCTGTGTAGCCAAGATCTCTTACTACCTACTTCACTTTGGATGTGGTAAATCAAAAGATTTATCCCTAACTCCTTTTCTGAAGTTCTGAAAGAGGTTCCAGAAGTCTCGAGAAAGATGATGAAAGATATAGAAAGGCCACAGAAAGAGCCATGTTGTTGCAGAGGAAGAATTGGGGTAAGAGAGAATTATTCTGAATCCAGAGAAGGCTGTGGACTCCAGAAATTCTCACTCCACAATACCAGAAGCACTTTTGCCCAGTGAAAGGTTATTCCTGTGGCACACAGAATAAGGGTTGCTCCATCTATCTCAGTTTCTGTAGCTACACTGTAACTGATGTTGTGAAAACAGGAATGGGAGAGGATGGAGGAGAAGAAAAAGGAAAGAGAAAACTGAAGTGGTTCAGGCCAAAGCTAGATCAGAATTCTCTATGCTTTTCTCTCTTACTTAACATGTTTGGTCATGACATTGAGGGAGTTCTTATAAAAGCAGAAAGGAATTATTTTCAAACTATGACACCTCTCCCATCATAGCCAAACCCACATTTTTCAAATGCATTATGGTTGGGTAAGGATTCAGGTCAAGCATATGTTTGTTACAGCAAGAGAAAGTACACAGGCATTAACTTTCTCTGGGGATGTTGGTTCTTCAGTTAGGTAATGGCATGATGTGGTGTGGCTGAGAGAAGAGGTCAGTACAAAATAACTCAAATCAGGTATCTTGATCTGAGACATTCTTTCAACTTTCAATCCTGTTAAGTTTAGAAGAGCTCTTTCTCACACAAACCTAAGATTGTTGCAGATAGAATGACTAAGTCTCCGCAATGTGCTGTGGTCGCCACAAGCTGGCTGGAACACTGTGTGTGCTGTGGTAAGCATGTCTCTCTCATGACTCAAGGGAGCCCCAACTAAAACTCATTTGCTTTTTCAGCATAAGTATGAGTTGTCTCCCAGACAATCACTATCCGTGGTTTACCACAGGATGGGAAAGAAAATAACGGAAGAAACTAAAAATCTATTAGCCCCAGAAATAAGAATAGCCCCAAATGTGTGGTACAGGGGGCAGAAAGACAATAGAACCCACCTTGGTGCCTTCTCAGGTAGCAGAACAGGAAGCAACAGCTAATGACGAGTAGAGGCAATGCCCCCAAAGAAGGTAAACTATACAGGAGCCATGGTCTGTTGCCCGTTTCATCCTTGGAGGGTTGTTCCGAGGTACTGTTTACATCTGGAATGTCAGTAAATGCTAAGGAGAGTTAGGAAATAATGAGATATATTAGCATCAGCAGCATCCCTCTGCATTGTCAGAAATTGAATGAAGGAGATTTCAGGCCAGTATCCCCATTTCCCCTTCAAAGGCATTCCTCAAGAATCCCAGTGCCCTCGTATATACCATGGAATACTATGCAGCCATAGAAAAGATGAGTTCATGTCCTTTGCAGGGACATGGATGAATCTGGAAACCATCATTCTCAGCAAACTGACACAAGAACGAAAACCCAAACACTGCATGTTCTCACTCATAAGTGGGTGTTGAACAATGAGAACACATGGACACAGGGAGGGGATCCTTAACACACTGGGGTCTGTTGGGGGGTGGGGGGCTGGGGAGGGATAGAAGTGGGTGGAGAGATTGGGGAGAGATAACATTAGGAGAAATACCTAATGTAAGTGACGGAGGGATGGAGGCAGCAAACCACCATGGCATGTGTATACCTATGTAACAATCCTGCAAGATCTGCACATGTACCCCAGAACTTAAAGTAAAATAAAATACATAAATAAAACAGTTTTGGTATCTCAGTAAGAACTCAATACACAGCGATGTGGCCATTAGAACTCTTCAAAGAAAGAAAAAAAAAAAAGAATCCCAGTGCCCTTTGCCACCTCTTGCTTTCTTACTGAGCAGATGTGGCTATGCAATAATCTTTTGCAAAAATTCTTAATTCTCATAGAGTTAATCATCCATATAACAATCTTTATCATAGCTGTCAGAAGGTACTTCCTTAAGCCTTTCTCTTTACAGTATCTAACTTTCCTTAAGCCTTTCTACTTACAGTCTCTAACTCTCATATCCATCACTTAAGAAAAGTAGGAAAGCCACTGTCTGTATTCCGCCCCAAGAATTGCCCCAAGTCAGATAGCTAGTGAGTAGCAACAGGAGCTCAAGCCAACATGTTTATAACATGAAATCCAAGTTTCTTCAACACAATGTCCTTGTCTCGTAACTCACTGGAATCTCGAGATACCAAATACTTTTGATATCCTCAAAAGTGCTCTGCATGGTACACAGCTAATGCACATTACTGTTGATCAGTGTTAATATGCATTAAGTCCCTGTTTGTCTGCGGTTGTTCACGGCTCATTAGCAGGTTGTGAAACAATTTACTAGGTCACAAATAGCATTTTAAAAAATGAAACAGAAGAGGATCAAAATCAGCAGAATGCATCACACACACACTAGAGCAGTGGTTCTCAAGCAGGGAAGATGTGGCAATGTCTGGAGATATGTTTGCCTATAACAAGGTAGGGTGATGGAGGCTGGCAGTTAGTGAGTAGAAGCCAGGGATTCTGTTAAACACCCTACACTATACAGAATGAAACCTCCTCTTGGCACGGCAAAACAATTATCCTGACCAAAATGTCAACGGAGAAACTCTGTCTGACAGTTAAGCATGGCCATATGAAACTTTTTTATATTTGTGTGTATTATGGGTTATGATGTAAGATCTATTTTTTTTTTAAATTTTGGTTTACTGTTGACACAGTATGAAAAATACTGGAGTAAGATATTCTAAGGCCAGGCATGGTGACTCACACCTGTGATCTCAGCACTTTGGGAGGCCAAGACAGGTGGATCACTTGAGGTCAGGAGTTCGAGCCCAGCCTGGCCAACATGGTTGAAACCCCATCTCTACTGAAATACAAAAATTAGCTAGGCATGGTGGCATGTGCCGGTAATCCCAGCTACATGGGAGGCTGAGGTAGGAGAACTGCTTGAACACGGGAGGCGGAGGCTGCAGTGAGCCGAGATGGCACTACTGTGCTCAGCCTGAGTGACAGAGTGAGACTCCATCTCAAAAAAAAAAAAAAATTAGGCCGGGCACGGTGGCTCAAGCTTGTAATCCCAGCACTTTGGGAGGCCGAGGCGGGTGGATCACAAGGTCGAGAGATCGAGACCATCCTGGTCAACATGGTGAAACCCCGTCTCTACTAAAAAAATACAAAAAATAGCTGGGCATGGTGGCACGTGCCTGTAATCCCAGCTACTCAGGAGGCTGAGGCAGGAGAATTGCCTGAACCCAGGAGGCGGAGGTTGCGGTGAGCCGAGATCGCGCCATTGCACTCCAGCCTGGGTAACAAGAGCGAAACTCCGTCTCAAAAAAAAAAAAAAAAAAAAAAAAAAAAAAAAAAAAATTCTATTAATTCTGTTATAATGTTACTTTGTTTCCCTAGATGCTTGGGTTTGGAATAAAAATGATTAGGAGCAACTGAAGCTGCACAAAAGTGGTTTGGTTATTTAGAGTGGTAACAAATGTTGTCTATTGATGCTGCAGCTGCTGTTTAGGCTAGCCAGCAGTCCAGCCACTACCAGGTGTGCCAGACACAGCTGTCTGGGGGAGGATCTCGGAAGCAATGGGGACTAAGGTTTTTACAACAGATAACCTAATACAAAGAAATCTGCTGTCTCAAGAAGATCCAACTTCAGTTATTTCTTTAACGACCAAAAAAAAAAAAATTATAATAATTTTACTTGATTAGTTTGATCAAATAAAACTAATTCAGAACAAACTCAAAACTCTCCCTAAGTTATTTTGAGTTTGTTCTGAAACAGAAAAACAAAATAAAAAATTGAAATTGAGAAAATGATGAGGGTGTACACTTGTGTCCAAAACCAGTGCTAGCCTTGGGGAGGATGACAGTCTTTGCACACTACCGGAGAATCCAATAATCCATCTCAAGATTAGTTAGCATAATTTGTGGAACATAACTCCAAGATCACTGATATACAGTAAATTCCTGGGCTTATTTTGAAGCTCACAAACAAAGCTTGTGAAACACAACACAAGCTTTGTCTGTGTGCTTTGATCTCCTCTTCCCCATTCCTTAAGCATAAGGAATCAGTCTAGCCTGTACGATGTCTCTGGCACCTGGCGTAACAAGCGGCACACTCACCAGGTGCTCCAAATCAGGGTGGAAGGTCACAAGGACTTCCACACCCATTTTCATGCACAGATAATGACCACATTTTGGGGAAGTTATTGTTTCTATTTCATTTATTTTGAGACAGAGACTTGCTGTATGGCCCAGGCTGGAATGCAGTGGTGCAATCTTGGTTCACTGCAGCCTCCGACTCCTGGGTTCAAGTGATTTTCCTGCTTCAGCCTCCTGAATAGTTAGTTGGGATTACAGGTGCCCGCCACTATACCCAGCTAATTTTTTTGTACCTATAGGAGAGATAGGGTTTTACCAAGTTGGCCAGGCTGGTCTCAACTCCTCACCTCAAGTGATCCACCTCCCAAAGTTCTAGGATTATAGGCGTGAGGCACCCAGCCTTGGGGAAGTTCTTTTTTTTTTGAGACAGAGCCTTGTTCAGTCCCTAGGCTGGAGTGCAGTGATGCAGTTTTAACTCATGGCAACTTCTGCCTCCTGGGTTCAAGTGATTCTGCTGCCTCAGCCTCCTGAGGAGCTGGGACTACAGGTGTGTGCCACCACACCCAGCTAATTTTTGTATTTTTAGGAGAGGCGGGGTTTCACCATATTGGCCAAGATGGTCTCCATCTCTTGACCTCGTGAACCGACTGCCTTGGCCTCCCAAAGTGCTGGGTTTATAGGTGTGAGCCACCGCGCCCTACACAAGTTCTTAATTAGAAACTGACCAAGGAAGGTTGGGAAGGGTTAGGTGAAAAGCCAATGGATGTTTTAGTGACTGTTCCCCAGCTCTGCCAACTTTTCCCCTAGAACTTTGGCTTGTTTTGCAAGGTGCTTTTCTTCATTCTGAGAGAATACTGCTTTCCCAAGAGCATCCAAGCCCCTACTCTGTCACAGACCTGTTCTTACATGAACTAACTTTTACCTTGAGCATAAACAGCAACAGAGAGTCACATATAAAAACAACAAACTGTCCAAAATCACTTCAGAAATATATTTCACGGGAAAAAATAAAATATTTTTTATTAGACCTCTAAAATTATTTATGAAAAGTATGGTCCTTCAACCTATTTCCAAACATATTTTTCTCCTCACCCTTATACCTTAATTCACTGAGCACTTTCAGGTTCAGAAAGAAGAGGAATTTTTCTTTGACCTTCCCTGTTATTTTTGTTTTCACCGCTTTGCTAAGGAAAAATGCCCACATAGTTTAAATTAGTCTTAAACCCACACAGAGTTTAAAGTCAATTCCTAAACAATTTACTTTTTGTGGGAAATAGGAAAAAAAACAAAGAAATATTATGCAAATTTCTGCCTTCCAGGACATTATAATCTTTCATGGGACTTAAAAGACATATTACTACAGTGAAAAGAAATGTGTGATAAATGAGAGGCGTAGAACTTAAATGGAATAAAAATTGGTAAAAAGGAGTGATCCCTTCCCCTCAGGTGATCATGAAAGGCTTTCTTAAGAACTCGAAAAATGAGCTGAGCTTGAAAGGAGGGGTAGAATTTCCATAGGTGGAGACAGATGAATGGGTGCTCTACAAATGGCAAGAGCAGCAGAGGCAGGGCTGTGAGGAAGATGTGGCTATGGTAACCAACGCCCTTAGGCTGGAGTTGAGAGGCTCTATATGGAATCCAGAAACAATCCAGAAAGGTGGTGGGAACAAACTGTGGAAGACTTTGAATGCTGGTGAACAAGGATGAGTCCAGTATTGTGAGCACTGGGGATGCTATGCAAGAGAGTGGTGTTATGAAGGAAGTATATGGGGCAAATTAAGTGTATTAGGAAGATATGTGGCTGTAATGGACCAAAATGAGGAAACACCAAAGACAGAGTCCAATCACAGAATTAATTGGAATTATTTAGAAGGAAGGCAATCATGGTGTGAAATGCTCATAGAAGGAAACATTACCGAGTAGAATGTGGAGAGACAAGAGTAGGAAGTCAAAGAAAATTCTCTGGAATTTTTTAATGAGGATCAAGAGCATTAATTAACAAACTGATAAGGAAGGGTGTGATAAGAACAGTAGGTGAGTAGGAAACTAGGAGAGAGTAGAAATGTTCAAAAAGAAACTTACAAGGTCCTTCATGTCTGCTATTTAGCTCTTAGACTTTCTCTTTTACTACTTCATCTTTCACATACTTTGTTCCATAAAACCCCCCAGGGTACAGGATTTAAGAGGGAATGTTATTTCCTTTCTTCTAAATTTGGACTCCTTCCTCCACACAATAGATTGTTGATCCTAATCTCAGCCCCAACTTGATCCCCAGAACAGGCATCTTTATGCACTTTATAAACTGTACACCATCTTTCATGGTCATGAATGACCCAAATATGGGATGGAGCAGAAATTGCAATGCTACTTTCATGTAATAGACTTTTGTATCGCAATTAATTATTAGCTTCTGACCTTGGCTAAATTCATCTCTCATATAGAAGTAGACTTGTTCCCATAAAGAAAGACTGAATTACACAAGAGGGCTTCTCTTTCAAGGAAGGGAAGAGGGATTCAATGCCTCAAAATTTAATTTCATTATACATTATGTTGATATATATTATCTAAATTAGTAGCATTTATTGATTCAGTAGTATATATCATTCTAGAAGTAACATTTTGCAGATTTTCCTTATTTTCATAATGTATTTTGCCTGTTTAAAAAGTAGTATTTGTTTAAAAAAATCAATATTTTGTCACAGTAATGTGAATTAATAGTACAATTCTTTCCAGAAAGTGTTCATTCCATATATCCTCAATATAGGTTTCTCCAGGTTGATAAAGACAATTTTTGTGCGTTGCATATAATATATTCTTTAATTTACTTACAAAGAATTATTTAGTGAGCCCCTACCATGTCCCAGATATCTTGCCTTCCATCATACTGAGCAAAGATGTTTAAGACACAGCCTCTGTCCTGAAGAGGTTTATAAGCCTCTTCAGGACACACGGATGGTCACAACTAACACTGAGCTTGATGCTATATTTGCAAAAGTGAGTCCCTAACTGTGCCATCGATTTCTTCTACACTTCTACATTTCATAATTGAGGGTTGTAGCTAGCACTAAAGTGCTACGCATTTTTTCATGGGGCTGCCGTAAGAAATTTTAAAGCGACTTAAAGCATTTTAAAAGAATTCCAATGGATTCCTTCATTGGGCTACTTTAAGGGAGTGCAAACACACTCAAAAGTAAGCATATAAAGTAACAAATTAATTCTAAAAAGAACAATTGTAAAATGTATGCATTCAAGTGAATAATGTCCATAAAGGAACTAAACCGTATGAAGCTGCAACTAGAGTTCACTCAGGCTGCTATTGCAATAAACCTCTTTTGAAATTTCTCCTTCCTAATGACCGTAAGGGTCAATTTATGCGCAACAAAAGAAACTCCACCTTATTTCTTATAATTAAAGGGCACTCTTCTTTGAAAATACATATAACATAGAAATTACTATTTTAATCATTTCAAATGTACAATTAAATGGCATTTAAGATATTCACAATGTTGTACAAACATGACTACTATCTAGATTCAGAACTTTTTCATCACCCCGAAAGGAAACCCTCTACCTATGAAGTAGTCACTCCACATTCTTTATTTCCTCAGCCCCTGGCAACCACCAATGTACTTCCTGTCTCTATGGATTTGCCTATTTGGGATATTTCATATAAACAGAAACACATCGTATTTGATCTTTTGTATATGTCTTCTTTGACTTAGCATAATGCTTCTGCAATTCATCAGTGTTGTAGCATACATTAGTACTTGATTCCTTTTCATGACTAAATAATATTCCATGTGCAGATAATCTACATTTCCTTTATCCATTCATCAGTTGAACATTTAGCTTGTTTCCACAATTTGGCTATTGTGAATAGTTCTGTGATAAACATTCATACACAAGGTTTTGTGTGAACTTATATTTTAATTTCATTTGAGTATTTACCTAGGAATAGAATTACTTGGTACCGTGGAAACTGAGTTTAACCTTTTGAGGAACTGCTAGACCATTTTCCAAAGTAGCTGAATAATTTTACATTCTCATCAGCAATGGATAGGGTTTTGATTTCTTCACATCCTTGCTAACACTTCTTATTTTCCATGTTTCTTTTATTCTAGTCATTCTACAGGTAAGAAGTGGGTTTTCCATGTGGTTTTGATTTGCATTTCTCTAGTAACTAATGGCACTATGTATTTTTCTTCATATGCTTATTGGCCATTTGTGTACTCTCTTTGATGAAAGGTCTATTCAAGTCATTTGCTCATTTTAAAATTAGGTTGCCAGTCTATCTGTTGTTGAATTTATAGTGTTTTTTTGTTTTTTTTTTTTGTTTTTTTTTTTTGTTTTTTTTAAGACGGAGTTTCGCTCTTGTTACCCAGGCTGGAGTGCAATGGCGCGATCTCGGCTCACCGCAACCTCCGCCTCCTGGGTTCAGGCAATTCTCCTGCCTCAGCCTCCTGAGTAGCTGGGATTACAGGCACGCGCCACCATGCCCAGCTAATTTTTTGTATTTTTAGTAGAGACGGGGTTTCACCATGTTGACCTGGTTGGTCTCTATCTCTTGACCTTGTGATCCACCCGCCTCGGCCTCCCAAAGTGCTGGGATTACAGGCTTGAGCCACCGCGCCTGGCCTTTTTTTTGTTTTTTAATTTAATTTAATTTAATTTAATTTTTTGATGCACAAAAGTGTTTAATTTTTATGAATTCCAATTTAACTATTTTTGGTGTTATTGTTTTTTTTTTTTTTTTTTTTTAAGACGGAGTTTCGCTCTTGTTACACAGGCTGGAGTGCAATGGCGCGATCTCGGCTCACCGCAACCTCCGCCTCCTGGGTTCAGGCAATTCTCCTGCCTCAGCCTCCTGAGTAGCTGGGATTACAGGCACGCGCCACCATGCCCAGCTAATTTTTTGCACCTTTAGTAGAGACGGGGTTTCACCATGTTGACCAGGATGGTCCCGATCTCTTGACCTCGTGATCCACCCACCTCGGCCTCCCAAAGTGCTGGGATTACAGGCTTGAGCCACCGCACCCGGCCTTTTGGTGTTATTGTTGATTATGCTTTTGTAATCATATCTAAGAAATCGCTGCTAAATCCAAGATTAGAAACATTTATCCCTATGCTTTCTCCTAAGAAACCAGGGTTTTATTGTTTTATATACTGTAGTTTTTATAGTTTTAGTTCTTCTACTTAAATTTCTGATTTATTTTGATTTCTTAAAATATGGTATGAGATAGGGATTCAAATTCATTCTTTTATATATCAATATCCAATTATCCTGGCACACTTATTGAGACTATTCTTTTGCCATGGAAGAATCTTGGCATCCTTGTCAAAAATCAGTTGACCACAGATGTATGGAGTTTATTCTGGACTCTCAAGTCGATTTACACTGATCTCTTTGTCTATCCATATGACAGTAATACTCGTGTGTGTGTGTGTGTGTGTGTGTGTGTGTGTGTGTTTTAACTGTAATTTTGTAGTAAGTTTTGAAATAGGGAAGTCTTAGCTTCAATTTTGTCCTTTTTCAAGAATGTTTTGGCAATTATGGGTCTGTTGCAACTCAATGTGAATTTTAGAATCAGCTTTATAATTTCTGCAATAGCAACAAAAAGCTGTTGGGATTTTGGTGGAACTTCATTGAATCTGTAGATCACCTTGAGGAATACTGCTATCTTTACAATATTACATCTTTCAGTCCATAAATACAGAATGTCTTTGAATCTATTTACATATTCTTGAATTTCTTTCAGCCATGCTTTCTTTGTCCAGTGTGCAACTTTTGCACCTTGGTGAAATTTATTCTAAAATATTTTATTCTTTTTGATGCTATTGTAAATGGAACTGTTTTCCTAATTTTTTTGTGGGTTGTTCATTGTTAGTGTATAGAAGTATCGATTTTTATGTATTAAGGCTGTATCATGTGGAACTGCTAAATTCATGTATTAGCTTTAATAGTTTTAAATAAATTTTAAATATTTTTTCTACACATAAGTTCATGCCATCTGTGAATAAAGTTTTACATCTTCCTTTCTAAGTTAGATAGTTTTTACTTCTTCTTTTTGTCTATTTTCTCTGGCTAGAACTTTCAGTTTAATGTTAAACAGAAATGGCAAAAGAAAGGATCCATGTCTTGTTCCTGATCTTAGAGGGAAAGCTCTGAGCCTTTCACCATTGAGTATGATGTTAGCTATATAATTTTTATAAACCAAATATTTTTTACTCTCACCTACTTCCCTCTCTCTCTGTATTTTTCATGTTTTATTCAGCTTGGTTTCCATGAGCTCAACTTCTATCTGCCCTTTCTCAGTTGTCAAAGCCTACTAAAGGCTTCTATGGGGGAACAGGGGAGAGAAATGAAGCTATGAATATTCCCAGAAAATCATCAGGGAGTCAGGTTATTTGTTTGCTGCTTTTCTTCTAAACAAACTGTGAACTATTAAAAAGTGCATCATTGTCTAAGTACCACAAACATAACTTCAAGAAATTGTGATGAACAAAAGTAAAGAAGAGAAAACTGGGGAAAAAAGAAAAAAAGCAAGGACAAAGAATCACAGAGCTATTTGCAACTGCAGGTATTCACTTCAGCATTTTTTCAATATTTCATTGATCTACTTTTGGACTTACCAGATAAATTTTATAATCCCTAAAGTGAAACACAATAACTTTTATTATATTTTTCTCTACTCTCCTCTATCTCACTCATCTCAAACACACACATACACACAAGTACGTACACACTGGCACATAATCTGTAAAGCGTAGCAAACTTTGGATGTGCTACAGGAGTTCACTTTCTAACGTGATCACTTGAGAAACTGAATCCCTCTCTTTCTGGAAACATTATGAGAAAAATATTAGATGACTGAGGTATTGAGAACTCACCTCTCACGAAAACAGTTGTTGAGTGGCTTTCAACGCGATGAAATGAAAAATGTGCAGAACAGCGGTATGACCCACTGTCACTAGGAAGCACTTGTTCAAAATGTAGAATAAAATATGAAATGTTCTTCTCTTCTTTCCAACTTGTGTGTTGCTGAAGTCCATCTTCAAGTGGTAAACATTTTGTTCCATTGAGCTTGCACCAAGTCACATGAGGCCTGTGAGCACAGTATTTCACAGGGCATTGTAGGTTAAAGGGTTTTCCTGCTAAGACAGAGTGTACAGATTGTCTCTTTATGTAAAGCTGTACATCACATGATTCTTTCCCTAAAAGATAAAAACAAAACTAAAATCAAATATGTTCTTCTGGAAGGACCATATATATGTGACTTCAATAGTGCTCAAACATTATATGGTAATTTTCAAAAACACCCCCAAATTTCTAATAATTAAGCCTCACTAGCAGAGTGTCTCATACATACTAGGAACATAATAAGTATGTGTTTAAAAATGAAATAAATCATTTAATCCTCTGTCTCAGTCTGTTTTCTGCTGCTATAGCAGAATACCCGAGATTGGATAATTTATGAACCACAGCCGTTTTATTTGGCTCATAGCTCTGCAGGCTGGGAAGTCCGAGAGCATGGTGCCAACATCTAGCAAAGGCCTTTGTGCTGCATTATCTCATGGCAGAAAGCAGAAGGTGGAAGGGAGCACACAAGACAGAGAAAAATGGGGGCCAAAATTCATCCTTTTATCAGTAGCCCACTCCCATGATAACTAATCCATTCCTACAATAAGGGCATTAGTACATTTATAATCTACTCATCTCATAATACTGTTACAATGGCAATAAAATTTCAACACGAATTTTGGAGGGGACATTCAAACCATAAAATTCTGTCCCTGATCCCCCAAAACTCATGTTCTTTTCACATACAAAGTACATTCATTTTATCTCAATAGTCTTAAAAGTTTTAATTTGTTCCAGCATCAAATCAAAAGCCCCAAATTCAGTCTTATCTAAATTAGATATGGGTGAGATTCAAGGCATGATTCACTGTGAGGCAAATTCCCTCCAACTATGATCCTGTGAAATCAAAACAAGTTATCTACTTCCAAAATACACTGGCAGGACACATATAAGACAGATATTCCCATTCCAAAAGAGAGAAATAGGCAAAAATGAGAAAGTAACAGGTTCCAAGTAAGTCCAAAACCCAACGGAGAAATAAAATGGCTTTGCTGGGCTTAGTTGATGTTTCAGCTCTCAAGTTGGAGACTCATCCCTGCAGCTCTCCCAGGCTAATGCTTCAGGCTAGTAGCTCTACATTTCTGGGGTCTCAGTGGCAGTCCACTGCCATGGCTCCACTAGGCATTGCCATGGGAGTAGACTTCCTGGGCCCTCAGGCTGTCTACTACATCCTTTGAACACAGAGGTAGCTGTGGCCCACATCTCTTGCATTCTGCTAACTTGCACACTTATCAGGTGGGTGCCACCAAGTCTTACCAACTGCACGTTATGAAATGGTGGGTTGAACTGCACCTGGGCTCACTTGAGTCATGGCTGGAGCAGCCAAGAAGCACTGTGCTGGAATTCAGAGAGCAAAAACCTGAGGCAGATCTGGGCAGCAAGCCTGTAAAGGGCACTCCCGTTTCCCCTAAAACCAATTTGCTTTCTGAGCTCTGAGCCTGTGATGAAAGGGGCAGCCTCAAAGATCTTTGAAATGCCGTCAGGGCCTTTTTCTCAATATCTTGAATAGTATTTCACTCCCTTCTAGCTATACTCATCGCTTTAACAATGGGCTCTAGGCCATACCCTTAGTATTTTCTCCCAAACATGTTTTATACAGCTAGGCTGTGAATTTTACAAATCTTCCTATTCTGCTTCTCTTTTATTTATAAATGCCATTTTAAAGTCATTTTTTCCACTCTTGCCTCTTACTGTATGCAGTTAAAAGTAGCCACACAGCAGCCTGAATACTTTGCTGCTTAGATACTTCTTCCACCAAATATCCTAAATTATTGCTCTTAATTTCTGCTTTCCATAAAGTCCTAAGACGTAGATATACTTCTACCAAGTTCTTGGCAACTGTGTAACAAGGATGGCCTTTACTCCAGTTTTCAATGACTTGTTTCTCATTTCCCTTTAGTTCTGCACTTTGTGTTGATTGATATGTATTTTTGTTTGTTTGTTTTCCAGTAAAGTTAAGGCTAAACACATTATCCTAAAAGTATTTTCTCTTAAATTATTTTTTTCTCCACTCTTATAGTTCTTAGCCTTTCCTTCAATGTTTGCAACTACCCTTTCTCTTAGCAATCTGTCTAATCCATCTCCTTCACTAATTGATTTCACTCATCCTCATGCTTTCTTCTAAAGAGAGTTACAGTATCATACATTGTAATGGCATAAGCGTAACTGAGATATAGCCAAAACTCTCTTTTAAATACAAAGACAGCTAAGGGCCTTGCCTGTGATCACAGAGCTTGTCGGATGTTGAACCGAGGAGCAGCTTTTGACCCTGAGTTTCACATACTTGTCTATCCAGAACAAGGTTTCACCTTATTTCGACATTCTTGCCAACATAGATATTCTCACTTTACCTATTTCCTTATACCTAATATACCTTTCTCTCACGTCCTGCTTAAAAACCCTTCCTTCTCACATCTCATTAATCCCTGCTCAGAATAATAGAAACTTAAATTTCCAGGAATCAGAGTGAGACAAAGGACCCACAAAAAACTTTTAGAACCTCTTAATTTATTTATTTATAATTGCTTTGAGACCTCAAACAAGTTCACTTTAAGACTTCTTGATTCAGTAGCTTCCAAAAATTCAGAACTAAAGTGAAAGCAAGTCAAAAGGTATGTTATAAGGATGAGGTTTTAAAAAAAGAAAATGAAGAGAAATGGTAAACTATTTTACCAAAAGGAAATGTACCTGAATGTGGTTAGATTTACGACAAAAAAGTAAGGAGGCCAGAGGCAGAAAGGCCAAGTGAAACTCTTGTTTCCAGAAGTCTGTTCCTCTCCCTGAAGTTAACAGACTCCCTCAGCCTCCTAACTTCCCTTTTCATTTTCTTGGATAGGTCAATAATAGATTGTGGAGCCTACAAGTCTGTGCTAGAACTATGAAAAACAATGAGACCTTTGTAAAAAGCAAAGACCTTTTACCCTCAAAGAGTTTACGATTTAATTGGTAAAGCAAGAGTATCTAACAATGAGGGCACCTTTCTATAATCAATTTGCTATATACTGCTCTTTATTTCTTTCAGTTTACCTGAGCTGAAAGGAAGGCTCCTATGCTAGTTGTTAGGAAGCCTAGGAATAAATCAGACAGGATGTCTGCATTTCTGGAGCTGCTTCTAATGGGAAATAAAAATGAATGATAATTGAGAGAGTGACATAACACTGTAAAGAGGTACAAACAAGGCCGGTTGCGGTGGCTCACACCTGTAATCCCAGCACTTTGGGAGGCCGAGGTGGGCGGATCACCTGAGGTCAGGAGTTTAAGACAAGATTGGCCAACATGGTGAAACTCTGTCTTTACTAGAAATACAAAAATTAGCCGGGCGTGGTGGTGGTGGGCCTTCTAATCTCAGCTACTCAGGAGGCTGAGGCAGGAGAATCCCTTCAATCCGGGCGGGGGAGATAACAATGAGTGGAGATCGTGACTGCACTACAGCCTGGGCGATGGAGTAAGGCTGTTAGTTTAAAAAAAACAAAAAACAACAACAACAAAAAAAAACAACGGTACAAACAACTTTGCATCTTTGCATGGGTGTGCAGAAGGTTAATTTTATGGAAAGGCTAGACTTGAGCTGAACCTGGGTGAATGAGTAGCCCTTTGGCAATCAGAGCAGTACATGGGACAGGGGAGGTATTTTAAGAGTGAGGAAATAGAATGGAAACGTCTTAGAGACCAGGAATCTTATGATAGATTTAGATCATTGATACACTAGTGGATCATGGTTTTCTGACATAGTGACATGGAGACCACTGGTTATTCCAGAACAAATGGAATAAGCATTAGGCAGGAGTTTAAACTGCTTATCCACCATGAGAAAATATAATGCCTAATTGGGGGGGGATAATTATAAAGGGTATGGAAATTGCTAAAAATGAGACTATTCATTTGAACATGTCTGTTTCAAATGCTAACACATTGAGCAAGTTTGAGAAGCTGCCCAGTTTTGCTGGTCCTCAGTTTCTTCAAAATAAGATGAAAGGGGGCGCATGTGGTGGTTCCCTCCACTAATTCCAGCACTTTGAGAGGCCAGGGCGGGCAGATCACGAGGTCACAAGATCAAGACCATCCTGGCTTACACGGTGAAACCTTGTCTCTACTAAAAATACAAAAAAATTAGCTGAGCATGGTGGCACGCACCTGTAATCCCAGCTACTTGGGAGGCTAAGGCAGGAGAATCACTTGAACCCAGGAGGTAGAGGTGGCAGTGAGCCAAGATCACACCACTGCAGTCCAGTCTGGCGACAGAGCAAGGCTCCATCTCAAAATAAAATAAAATAAAATAAGATGAAAGGATTGAACTACAAAGGTAGGAAATTTCTAACTCACCAACTGCCGATCACATAAACACATACAACTTCATCTCCCTCGATGTGTGACTGAAACTATGAAAACACTTCTAACCTGTAATTTCTATTTCTATTACAATATATATTACCTTTCTATTTAACCATAGGGCTATCACCTGATGTTAGTGGCACAATGAGACATCACTTCAAGTTCCATCTTTTGTGATTTATGCTCAGGAGCAGTGCACAATGGTAGGATGGAGAAAAGAGCTAGCTTTTTATGTTGGTGGCAACACTGATTCACAACAGGATTATGGAAACATTGCAGTTCCTGAATATTCTTATCAGCAGGATAATGATCATTCACAATCACACTGACTGGCACAGGAATTGTTTTGAATAGAGGAATGAAAAGATGCTGAATGTAAGCTTGCAGACAGGCATTAAAAAATCAAGAGGACTACTTTTGTGCACAAACAAGGTATTACAATACTTCCTATCTCTCAAAGGCTGACGCTGATGTTTGTAGTGTAAGAATGAACCGCTGAGACAAATAGCACAATTCTAATTGTCCATCTGACAAGCTTGTTAACACCTCTTTTCTGCCTGCCCTGAATTACACATATCCATCTTATGATACTCAGGACACACAAAGCTATCCCCAAAAAGTTTGTCATATCAAATAAATATTTCCCGAAGAGGAATAAATATCACAGTTACTTTTGGCTGCGACTCAATCTCCCACTATCAGTTATTTTTATTCCTGCTCTTACTATCCCTGCTGCTTTTCT